CCAATGTCTTGAATGAGATAATTAGTGAAACAATGGTTAGATTCATAGACAACATGAATGTAACTGAAATGGAAGATTCCAGAAGATACCTGTCAATCGGCTGCAATGAAAGGTTGAGTTGGAGAGTCCTGGCTGCACAGTTAAGAACAGGGTCTGAGAAAGGAGGTTTGACAGGAAGATGTGTGAAAAGAAAAAAGGCAGGTTCAATCTGTTGACTGCTTTGAGCCCATGGCTACCAAGAAAATGAGTGTCGGCCTCCAGTCCTGCGTGCAGACAACCAGGGTCTTCCATGGACACAAAGGAGACGGTGAAAAAGATGGAAAGGTGAGGCAGTAGGTCTGCAGGGGACAGGGCTGGCTGCATACAGCAAATGCTTCCAGGGATGGGGACGGCCCTGCCCACCAGACCAGACGGCTCCCAGAACACAGACTCCAGAAACACGGGCAGAGTCCCAGAAGGGCAGATTTTTGGCAAAATGTAGGACGAACTTCCTTTGTCTACCCATTGAATGAGCTGGACCAGCTTGGCAGGCAGATGTGACGGAAATGAACACTTGGGGGGCAGGGCCACGGCTTTTAGAGGATGACCGAGTGCAGGAGCAGTAGACCAGGGCTCAGGCTAGTGTGCAATCGGCTTACCTGTCCATTGCCTATTGGTGCCGTGTTGTGTACTTATAATTATGCATGAAAGGGCGTGGACCACAGGTGGGCACTCAGGGACTGGCAGGTTTGCTGTCTGTGTACTACCACTCAGCATCTGGGCAGAATGTCACCTGGTCCCCAGAAGTCCCCTTAAGCCCCTCCCAGTGGTTCCTTTTGCAAAGGAAAAGGAGATCCCTGGTGATCTGTCTCCCTGGTTGTCCAGGCTGCATGCGTCAGGAAAGAGCCCACAGACTGCTAAGCTCAAACCTGCTTCTTCCTGCCTGGGGAGCCCTCGCGAACATTCAAGATAACTCCCACCTGTCAGTGGTGGTGCCTTTAATCCTAACGCTTGGGAGGCAGAGGCACGTGGATCTCTGAGTTCCAGGCCAGCCAGGACTACATAGAGAAACCCTGTCTTGAAAAGGCAAAAACAAAAACAAAAAGAAAAAAGTATGATTCCCATCAGGGACAAAGGAGCAAGTGTTCTGACAGGTGTCTGTAGCCTTGGAGATGTAGGCCATGCCAGACACCACATGGCAAGGTGTCAGGCAGCATTTCCACAGAGGAACAGGCCAAGGCTGTTGCATCCTGGGCTGCCCTGGACACTTAGGAAAAGGCAGCTCACGCTTTTGGCCAGATGCCTGGCAGCCTTTTAGGGCAGTTTAGCCTCTGCTGGGCCTGGTTCCCTTCTGAGGAAGTGAAGACTGAGCTCTGGGGGTGGGGTGGGGGGGTGGAGGGGGTACTCTGGTGTGTCTTTGTCCTAACATCCCAGGGGCGTGCTCTCTGCCTTCCCGGATGCTGGTGCAGGGTTCCCAGTCCCTTGTGAGAACCGCCCCCCTGCCCGTGGCAGTCTAGAAGCAAAGTAGTAGTCCTCTGCTCTAGGTTTAGAGAACATTGGGCGCCTCTGTGTGCCGATCCAGTGTCCTGGTCTTACACAGGCCTCTTGGAGGTGGGCGGGACAGAGGCCAGCACTGGCCTAGCCTGGTCTGAGCACAGTGCTGGAACCTATCGCCTTATATGACGTCTGCTGGGAGAGCTCCAGTGGCTTCTGCATCTTTCTTTGCTTGCCTGGTTTGAGTTCTGGAAAAGTTTTGCCAGGTGGGGTTAGGCAATTTCTGTGGAAAAAAAGAGCCCACAGTCTGGGCAGGGCTCTCTGCTTGCCCCCCGCACAGCTGGGTGGCATATTGGGTGGGTCCCCTCTGCTTTTATAAAGTCTGCATCTGTCAAATTAAAAAGTGGGCCCTGTCCCTGTTTCTCAGTGGGACTGGGAATTCAGGAAGGAGTTTCAGGAAGGCTGTGGGCAGCGGACAGCGGGGTGGAGGTGGGGGTGGGGGGTAAGGGGTGGGGGAGGGCTCGGCTCTTAGATGTGGGTTCCTTATGTCCGCTCACTCCCACAATGTTGCCTGCTGTTTGGTTTTTGTTGTTGTTGTTTTATTTTTCTAGATTGCAGCTCTCGGGTGACCCCTCCCACACCCCACACGCTCACCCACCTCTTCCCTTCTGGATACACCCCCAGTACTACTGTGAGGCCTGCCAACTCTGGCCCTCCCCCCGGCCAGGCCCTCCCCACCCTCTGTAGGCCTTGGTGTGTGGGGGATTAATGAAGCCCAGATGCAGCCTCCTGACTGTGGCTGTAAGCTTTGGAGCAGCCATTTACCTCCCACTGTGTCCGGGCCCAGCTGCTGCCGGATCCTAGATCCCAGGAACAGCTGGAAAACAGGTCCTAGCTACAGGCAGGCCACTGAGGGTCGAGTACTTGAGGAGGAGGAAGCTGGGAGTCAGGCAGGGCCTAGAGTGGGGGCCATGGAGGAGCAAGGACAGGGGCTTCTGACTCACATCCTATGGCTCAGCTCAAACGGCTGCTGCCTGTTCTGTCTTTCTAGAACGCATCTGCCTCTCAGAGCTCGGGGGAAGCTCTGGGAGCCACCAGCACACCCCTGCAGTAAGTGATCAATGCTAAACCCAGGCAGAAGTGTGTTCCCAGACAAAAAATGGGGGAATGGCTGGTTTCCCCTTCATTTTCCAGATGCAGTACAAATACAGCACGTAACAGCATTTAAAAAACAAGCAAAACAAAGAAACAATTCTTTGTCTGAAATTTGCCTTTAACAGGGCATCCTGTATTTTAATTTGCTGAACCTCTTTGGTGGTTTCCCAAGTGAAGCACATGAAACTAACCCCCAGTTTGGGAAAGGACAACTTGAGCACACCCGGGGTCACCGGGGACACAGCTCCTCTACCTCCAGCAGTCCTTTGGAACTTGTGAGGATTCACACTGACTTTCTTTTATAGCTGTCATCTTCCCCCACAGCAGAGTGAAGATGGCGATGGCGTGTGGGGTTAGCTGTATAGCAACAGTTCAGTCTGTTTATCGGGGTTCTGCTGTGAGTACCTCTCTCTTGTACCTGTGGACACTGAAGCAGGGCTGGACTTGAGAATCATGGGGAATCGGTTTAGTTCTCCAAAGAGGTCATGTCCCTTCCTGTCAGCTCTGTGAGCACCCAGTGGGTGGCCCTTCACCCTCCTCAGAGTGGCCATTTGTCCTTTCCACCTAGCCCTTCCTACTTGGGCTGGCACCACCTGGCACTCTTGTATTAAATCAAGAACCCCTGCGTTGTTGATCCTTGGGGTTTTTGACTGTTACTTAAGAAAAGCCAACATAGCGTGCAGAGCTCAGTCAGGCCCTGTGTCTGATCCCGTCTCTCCACCAGGCTTGGTGGAGGCCTGCCTCAGCACTCCATCACTAAGGCAAGTGTGGCCCTGGGACCTTGCTCTGGAGCCATCGGTACCAACTGAAGTGACCAGGCTCAGTCCTGCCTCTGGAAGTCCTCCCTAAGGAATCATTTCCTAGCACCTGATGCGTCCCACATCCGGTCTCTCTGGCCCTAGTGTCTTTCCAGCGATGTGGCTGAGAGCACCTGTCAAGAGGTCCTTCTCCTCTCAGAACCCAGAACCAGACACGTGCCATCGGGCTTCACGTCTAGGCCTTTATTTGCTTCCCTTCCTCTCCTCATTTTACATCTGACGTCCACTGGGTACCATTCTGAGCCTGTTACTTAGCTCTGTGTGGTGTCAAGTCCCTCAGAAGAGATAAGAATGAAACTCTGATTAGTCAGTGGTGACGCTCACCTTTAATCCCAGCACTCAGGAGACAGAGGCAGGCGGATCTCTGTGAGTTCAAGGCCAGCCTGGTTTACGGAGTGAGTTCCAGATCAGCTAGAGCTACAAAGAGAAACCTCTCTCAAAAACATGTGGAGATACATGGAATGACATGTTGTAATCTCCCCAACAAGGCTCAGGTGATTAATTATGGAGTTGTGACTTGAGAGTTTGACTTGAGGAGGAGTTTGTCCTGTCACCTAGTCTCAGAGATCCTGGGGGTAACTCTAGTCCCACCCGACGGCCTCTTCCTCTCTCTCTTTACACACCCAAATGCCTAAGGACCCAAGCGTTAACATCCGAAGCCCTGCTGGGGCCTTCATTCCTGACTGAGGATGGCTCAGTCCTGAGTAAGCATTGACTAAGCACAGCCTTATGGCTGACTGAAGCAGGAAAGGGGCCTGGGCCGGCTCCTGAGCAGCTCAGGAAGCAACTGGTCTGGAAACTGGGCTGGTGGCTTCAGTCACAGCTGTCTCTGGGCATTCCTGGGGCGCTGTCCCCCTTGAAATCTGTCCTACTGGGAGGCAGGAGGACGGACAGCGCTATAAGGTGACCCCCTGTCACATTAGCTGCCCCACGGGGAAGCTATACTCTCTTAACTGTCCAACCACAAGATCCAAAGGCTGGTCAGCGGTTGAGTCACCCAGGTGCCTGGATAGGGTCAGGATGGTAGGAGAGGAATCCCAAAGGAAAGTTCTCTGACTAGTGGGTGGGAAAAAAAAAAAAAAAAAAAAAGGAAAAGAAAAAGCCTGGTCTCAAGGGGCTGAGCACCCACCCTGCTTGAAGTCCTTTGAAATCTGAGACCCAGTGCACAGGGCCGGACAAAGAGAAGGGAGTGAGCTTTTCTTCCTTTGCCTTCCCCCTCCGTCTGCTTGTTTTCCTCCTCAGTTGCTTCATCCCCCATTGATACATTTTTCTTCTTAGATTTTTGCTTTGTTTACGGTTCAATCCCCAGGGTCTCCTGCGTGTTAAGCTCAGCCACTGAGCCACACCTGGTTTTGCCTCGGTCTGCACATATTTGTTATGCAAAGGTAGGAATGTTGGTTAACTTTTGAGTAGACTCTTCACCCATACAGATCTACAGAGACATACAGATCCGAGGGGGTAACAGCTCCAAAGGGAAACGAATTTTCTTGTCTTCTCCAAGCTTTCTGGAACCTCCAGCCCACCTTACTCAGGCCCCTTGCTCTTCTCTCCCAGGCAGCTCCGAAGTCAACTGAGCCTCACAGTTATTGCCCGGATGCTGGGTCAGCAAGAGGCACTTCCTCTCTGGGGAGAGACAACCCAGGTGAGTTTGCCTCAGCAGGACCAGGAAGGCCTGTGGTGGGCCTTGACCCCTCTTCCCATTACCTGTTTACACCTGAGGTATAATCACAGCGCCCATCCCCAGACCTCAACTGGACTTCATTGCTTCATTCAAATTCCTTTCGCTCCAGTTACTGGGGCCAGGGGCAGAGTTGAGTGGTAGAGCGTTGCCTAGGCCGTGTGAGGCCTGAGTTCTGTTAGCAGCATGGCAAGAAAACAGTGGTATGAGCCTGTGTTTCCAGCTACAGGGGAGGCCGAAACAGGAAGATTACTTTAGCCTAGGACTTAAGAGGCCAGCCTGGGCAAGGCTGGTGTGGTGGCTCACTCCTTTAATCACTTTTTATTTAATTCTGCCACACTCAAAACATAGTAGCTTTTTGGCCGGTTGTGGTGGCGCACGCCTTTGATCCCGGCACTCGGGAGGCAGAGGCAGGCCGATCTCTGTGAGTTTGAGGGCAGCCTGGCCTACAGAGCGAGTTCCAGGACAGGCTCCAATGCTACAGAGAGACCCTGGGCCATCAAGGAGGAGCCCTGGCTTCTCCCACTCTTCTCTCTGAGGATTGAGGGTCTCACACAGTTAGTTTGGAGGCCATGGCCTCCTTGCGGCTCCAAGGATGACATGGGGAAGTTGAAAACCTCTGGCTTCCACTAGGGATCTCCCTGGAATTCTTTTTTTTTTTTTTTTTTTTTTTTTTTTTGAGACAGGGTTTCTCTGTGTAGCTCTGGGGGCCCTGAGCCTGGAGAGGGGTCACATGGAGGGAGGCAAATTGTGTACGCTGCTTGGTTCAGGGAGCTGGCTCAGGGGGGCCTCTGCAACAGACAACAACCCAGGGGCCCAAGGCCACTCAGGCAAGTGGAGCTGGACTCTGCTTCCTGACTGGAGGTGCCGTCCTCCCCCCTGCCTGCTGTGACCACTGTGAACCCAGCCGCGTGCCTGTCTGCTCCTCAGACACCAGGTGTGACACACCACATGACTCCTGAAGAGGGGTGAGCCAGCTAGCTGTGACCTGGGTGACTAACGCTGCCCGAGGATAAGCTTCTGAGAAGGTGCCTGAGCCAGGACTCGGAGGATGAGTCCATGCTTGCTAGGAGGAGAAAGAGCCAGAGTCAGCTGAGGCTCAGAGAGAGGAAGGGCCGGCAGGTGTGTTTAGATGCTCTGCTGCTAGTCTCTTCCTGCTGTCTGGTCACCTGAGATTTGCCACAGCCACCCCTGCCCATACCCCCTCTCCTTGGCCGCCTCTGGTGCAGCCCACGAATGCACACAGCTCCGGTTGTGCAGGCCCCTCCTTCTACCTACAGTCGTTGCATCTACCAGGCAGGCAGTGCTCACTGTCTGTTCTGAATACGTTTCCTGTGCTTCCCTCCCTCAAAGCCTTGGGATGGAAGAGTCGCTACTCTGTCCATGTTTTACAGATGAGAAAACTGAGTCAGGGAAGGGGCAGCCAGGCTTGGAATTGTGCCGTTGGCCACTGCAGCACGCCACCTCAACCTCTCCAGCCCCTTCCCTGGCTCCTAGCAGCCTGTACCATTTGAAGGAGCTTTCGGGTTGACTGTCTAAGGTGGATGGGAGGGGTTCTCAGGGCCCAAGCTGCCCACCCTGTCCCAGGCCACAGCCTGAGCCCCAGGAGCAGTCCTGAGTTGGAGGACTGGGCTGGAGAGGCGGCAGGGTGCACTTGCGTTTTCCCGGAGAGTCCCAGGGTTGGGCCAGTCATTCCTGTTGTCTCATTGAATACTGGGAAAACTTCAGAAGCAGTCTCTGTTTGGCCTCAGGCCCCAGTGTGCTCTAGAGTCTGGTCTGGGCAGGAAAGAGCTGAATTGAATGAAGTTCCTCTTCTGTGATCGCCCTAGTCCAGGCAGGCCAACAGAGGCACCAAGAAAGAAATAACACTGGGGTAAACTTCCAGAGAATGAGTGCCGCACGGGAAATAGCGTGCACAAAGGCCCAGGGGCTCAGTAAAGCACGGTTAGGTTGGAGGGGAAGCAAAGAGGCTGGTGTGGCTAGAGAGAGGCTGAGGTAGAATAGCAGAGGCTGGGGTCAGGTTAAGAGGAGGTTCCATCGCCAGCCAGAACCGCAAGGCCACGATGAAGCCATGGGCTTTCAGGCGGGGGGGGGGGGGAGAGCGACGGGACGGAAGGGAACGTTGTCTGTCGGCTAGCTGCTGTGTTGAGACTAAAGTGTTGAGGGATGAAGCAAGGAGGGTGAGCCTGTCATTCTGCAGGGTGGTTAGCCTGGGGTGACAGCAGCAGAGGTAGGTAGTGGCAGATGCTAAGTCACTTCCCAAGGACAGCCAGCAGGGCTAGAGAGAGCAAGCAGGAGTCCTCCAGGAATCGGACATGGAGGGAAGGAGACACCTCTCAGCAGTCAGGCAAGATGCAGCTTGGGAGGAAACCAAGAGTTTGTTTCTTACACCAACCGCTTGCAACATAGAAACAAAGCAAACCATTTTGTAAATATGTATTTAGTGTGTGTGCCCGGTGCACCACAGTGTCCACGTGGAGGTCAGGGGACAGCCTGCAGGGGTCCATTCTCCCATTCTCTCTTTCCAAGATGTTGGATGCAGGGAGAAAACTCAAGTATTCAGGTTTGGCAGCAGAGGCTAATTATCTTACCTTCTGAGTAGTCCTGTCAACTTCATGTCCTATGAAGCCAGGTGGCCTTGATCATAAGACCCTCCTGCCTCTACTTCACATACCCCTAAGCTTAGAAGCAGGTGCCATCATGTCTGTTAACAAGCCACTTTGCTCAGATGTCTTTTTTTGAGACAAGGTTTCTTTATGTAGTCCTGACTGTCCTGGAACTTGCCATGTAAACCAAGCTGGCCTCAAACTCAGAAATCCTCTATCCCTTCGGCCTCCCAAGTGCTGGAATTAAAGTCATGAACCACCACATTCAGCCTCAAATCATGTCTTGAAAATTGGAAAGCAAGGACTTTGAGCACCCCAAATTAAGGGGGATGGGAAAGTTTGACTCTCCCAGGAAATGGTTAACTAAAGTCCTAATGCTAGTCAGCCATGTGTTTGCCTAATGAGTACTTAATAAGCATTTGCCATGTGCCAGGCATGGTGCTTGGCCTCCTGGACCCTGCAGGAGACTACGCTGACCTCATCACCAGGGAGAGGGCTGATGATAGTCAGTACACTAAGCAGGCGGGTTCTATGCCTGTGTAGGGTAAATGACGCTGGAGAGGAAAGACGTGCAGGACAGGGGACCGGTAAGGGTGGTAAGCACAAGTGCTGTGGCTAGATGTGACAGCAGACACCACCCTGTAAGGGCCCAGGCTCCTGAGCACAGCAGCCAGTCATTTGGGGCTTCCTAGTGCCTCATGGCCACCTCTCCTGTGCAAATTGGAGCCACTGCCAGGAGTTGAGAGCAAGAGACACATGCTGTGTAGACAGTTGCTTTGCCAGGATCTCCTCCTGCCAGGAGACTGGCAGGGCCAGTGGAGGCCTGTCCTGGGCGATCATCACTTCTTACCCTAAGGTGTCTACCCTAATGGGTGAGTGTTTGCTGAGTTGGCGCTCTGTAAAGGAGGTAGGGGGAGGGGGTGGAAAGGGTGTCGTCTTCTCCTGACCCTCCCTCTTAAAGACCCTTCAAGAACCAAAGAAGCCTTCAGCCCGGAGAGAGGGTGGCATGTGGGGGCGGGGCGATGCGGGAAACAAAAGAGAATCTGAGACCAAAACGCAAGACTGCACTGAGGCATTGCCAGGGCTTTCTGGAGCGAGAGGAAAAACACAAGAGTGAGCAAGTGAGCTTGGCCTGTGCTTTCCCTACCGGCCCTGCCCCCAGCTGCTAGAGTCGGGAGGGTCCCGGCTCTGCTCAGGCGGGCCTTCAAGTCATGCTGGGGGCGTGGTCTTCGAGGCAGGGCGGGGCAGTCCAGTGCTTGCACAGCTGTGAGCCGTGAGCCTGCAGCGTGCGAAAGGGCAGGGCTGTTTTGAAAATTATCCCGAAGGCTGGCACAAGGCACTGCCGCTCTCGGTGCAGCCCCAGATGGAATCTATCTCTGTCCAGATCCTTCCTCCCGGTTTTTGCTGCCTTCTTCCCACATCCCAGGAGCCAGAGCCGGCCTGACTCCTAGCTCCGCATCCTCCAGTCCCTGCCCAGCTGCTGCTCTCCAGGGCGTCTAAGGTTGAGGGCAGCTGAAGTGCTGAGCAGGTGCTGGTGGATGAGTCACAGGAGGAAGCCAGGTGTGGTGTGCGGCCTGGCTGGGCTCAAGCTGGGAGCGGGAGCTGGGCTCCGGGCTCAGCCCTCTTGCCTGTGGCCACACTGCACCTGCTAGATCTAAGGAATCGGCCCCCTTGAACTACCCTGACACTGCCCCTTCTTCCGATTCGTGCCCCATCCCTAGGGTTGCACATGGCTGACTTGAAGAGACTAGAACCGGGGCCTGCCCACCTTGACCCAGCCATACCCCATAACCTGGGCGGTCCTTGCTGGAACCCAATCTAGACTGCCCAAGCCCATGTTTGGGATGACCAGAGGGAGGGGCTAGAGTCAGGCCCCAGGCAAGTTGCATCCCTCCCAGGGGGTTCAAAGCCTGTTTTGTTCAGAGGGGTTGGGCAGTTTTCTTCAAAGCTAAGCAGGAGGTAGGGTGCCCGGTAGATTAGCACATCTACCTAATGCCTGTGTAGACCTCGCAGGGGAATCCCCAGCTAAACAGACCAACTGAAAGGGTGTTTGTGAGACTGAGAAAACTGAGTATAGACACAGGATGAGGGTGAAGCATCGGTTATTTTGTTGGACAAGAAAATAGTATGGCTTTTTAGGTGGCCGAGGTCCTGCTCAGGTGGCAAAGGGAATTTCTTTCTTACTCCTGGTTTTCCAGGTGAGCTTCCTAATTCAGCAAGTTAAGGAAGGGCTCCCCCTGTGCTAGGTAAAACTGTGTGTGTGTGTGTGTGTGTGTGTGTGTGGTGTGTGTGTGTATGTGTGTGTGTGTGTATGTGTGTGTGTGTGTGTGTGTGTGTGTGCGCCTGTGTACACCCATGTACATGCACACATGTCCATATACATGTCCCTTCTCCTAGGAAGAAGGGGCGTGGACCATTTTAGGGAGGTCACATAGGAGAGGTGGATCCAGGTTCTGGAAGCTGGGGTTATGACCCTCTGCCCCCAGCCAAAGGTGTCTCCCCGAGCACGTGTACACACACTCAGTCACAACCTCCTTTCTCCTCTCCAGCTATCCTTGCTCAGCCAGCTCCTCAGCCTCATGAGACCATCATCCCTCAGGCAGTGTCTGGGCATTGAGAACTTGCCACCCTGTCAGGGGCAAGAGTCAAAGGCCAATGCTGAGCTAGACCACAAGGTAAGCTCTTCACCCCTGCCTGCCTTCACCAAGAAGACCCTGCTACCCCAGTTAACGGGGAAGGAGGGCCTGTCCCCATTGCACAGCCTGAGGGGCCTGTGGCTGCCAGTCCTTCCTGAACCCAGAACCGCAAGCCACTCTAGGACAGAGGCCAGCAGGCTGCCTTCTATGTGGGGAGGAGGTGCTCCGCATCCCTCCCAGGCCTATAATTAGCACCTCTGCCCCCTGTGCGTGGAGGTGCCGGTAAAGCTGTAGGGGGCGGGGCGGTACCAACAGAGCTAAGCCCAGAGTCCCTGCTTATTCCCACTAATGTTGACCAAGGCTTAGCCTTTGACCCCTTTCCAGTTCTTCCAAGCTTTGTCAAGCTTTCCTGAAAGCCAGACTTGGGCACCAGTCAAAGACAACGAATACCCTGGTTTGAGGGGTTGTGGGTTAGGAATAGCAGAGGCCTGTGCACCCCTGAGGTTAGGAACTAAGGTGGGTGTGGGGGATTTCCACAGGCCCGTCTTACCCTAGAGACTCAGGTTGAAGGATGGAGATAGGGATCTTCTAATTCAGCAAGGCAGAGATTCAAAAATCTGGTTCCTGAGGTCGAATATTAACAATCCAGAAGTCCAACCTCTGGGCATCACTCTGAAAATCAGATAAGTGAATTAATGACTTAATGAACACAAATGAACCATTAAGAAGATGGGATAATCCCCAGGTGCACAGGTGCACACTCCCCTCAGAACGGGCAGGGAAGTTTGCCTTCGCTGTGGGATTTGTATTTGGGCTTTTACACGGCTCCAGTCTCCCAGGAAGGTGGAGACCGTCTGCACATCCCTTTCCTTCGCCAAGTACTCCCCAGGAAACAGGAGTGGACGGCACAGCCAGGTGGGGGGGGGCTCTAGAAAGGAGCTGGGGTCGGCCCCTGGGTGGGTACTTTGTCATGGCTGGACACAAGAGGCCTAGGGGTAACCAAAGAAGTACGAGAAAAAGGAAGAAGGGGTTGTTGCCTAGCCCGGCTGACTGGAAACTGGATGGCCTCCAGGAACCTTCTGGGCCAGGCTACAGCCTCACGCAGCAGCAGGAGTGTGGCTGCTACCAGGACCCCAGCTCCCACGGCTCACCTCATGTCTGAACTATCGGTTGTAGGGGCAGAAGGCGTCTGTGTAGAAGTCCTGTGAGGGGTGCTTTACTTTGAAGGCTCCAAGCACAGCTTCCCTTCCTTCCTTGGTTGTCTATTAGAGATGGTCAGGGTTGTCCTGACCCTGCAGGAGAGGAGAGCTGTGCATCCAGGGTTGCTTCCTGCCCCCAAGCAAAGGGTACATTGGGGACAACAGCAGGGGCATTCGGGATGGAGCTGCTCTCAGAACCCGTGTGCAGCAGCCAAGACCCCACCAGCGCCTCTGGGCTGCCCTTCACCTTGACCTCTGGTGGTGAGGTAGCTAAGGGCAGAGGCAATCTGGGGACTAGGGGTGGGACGTGGGGGGTGACAAGTGGGACGCCATGATAGAGAGAGTGTGAAATGGTTCCAGTTCTGTGCCCTGGGCTAGGTGCTGCGGTGGCTGGGAGGGGCCAGGCCACGCAGGCGACTAGGCCGCACTCCACCTCAGCCAACTGACTCCTCATTAGGCCTGAGCATGTCTCATCTTCAAAGATGAGATGGGGCTACTCACCAGCCAAAATGAGCAGCGGCGTCATCCGCCCTATTTTACAGGGAGTGGTGGTCTGGAATGGGGCAGCCTTTCATCCCCAGAGCTCAAAGTCTTTGCCTTTTTGCTTCTTGAATGCAGTGGGGGAAACTGAGGCCAGAGTTCAGGTCAGTTGGAGGTGATCATGTGTGAAGGAGACAGTTTCTTCCCAGCCTTTGAGGCTGCCCTGCTGAGCTCCTGCCTGTCCCACGCTAAATACCCTCCTGTCTGGGAGATTTCCTGCCCTAAACTGCGGGGGTCACAGCCCTCCTCCAACCCTGCAAATAAACACTTCTGCAGGCTCTCCTGGTCTTCCCTCCTCCCTTCCCCAGGGAGGGCACGAGCCTCCACTGTTGTCCTTTGCCTGTGGCCGTCTGTCTGTCCCACTGTGCCGTGGGCACGGCTGTGTGTCCCAGCATTGAGTGTGTTTTGCCACTCAGCGGAAAAACTGAACAAATGAATTGTACTTCATCCCTCTCCTCCTGTCTACTCCGTTTTGGCTATGGGCTCCCCTGCTCCCATTTTTGAATCTGCCATCCTTCTGCACCGCCTGTGACCAGTGGCAGCCCTCCGGCCTCTTAATACCCTTGTATCATTAAGACCACAAGCATTTATGGAACCCTGCGCTTCAGAAGAATTACCTTGGTGATGAGAGGGCCAATCGCAGGGCATTGTTGATAATTACCAGTTAGTGAGGCTCCTGCCTGGGAAAGCAAACCACCAACTACTTTAACAAAAGAAGCAACTGCTCGGCTTCCAGTCTGTGGGGGCAGGGACGAGCAGGGCCAGAGGCAGGGGCAGGCTGGGTTCCCAAGCAGGGTCAAAGTCTCTTACCATGCTATTAGCACATACAAACATGCTTGGAAAATAAGGTGTTCTGTGGGAGGCTGGAGTCTAGCTCAGTGGTAGCATGCTTAACTAGCGTGTGCGAGGTCCTGTGTTCAGTTCTCTGTACCACCAAAAAGGGGAGAAGGAGCTTTATAAGATTAGGGTGTAAGATTTAACGTTTTAACGACTTAAAGTGCCAGGCTCAGTGCCTAGCACCTGTAGTCCAGGCTATTCAAGAAATTGAGCCTGGTGGTGGTGGTGGTGGCGCACGCCTTTGATCCCAGCAGAGACAGGCAGATCTCTGTGAGTTTGGTCAGCCTGGTCTACAGAGTGAGTTCCAGGACAGTCAGGACTGTTTCACAGAGAGCTTCATTCCTGAAGCTCATCTCACAATATTTATATCTAGTGCTGATTCCTTGCTGGCTATCTATGCACTGGGCTTGTCCAGTCTGAGCATCTCATCTAGGTGAGAAGATGCATGGACCCTGGTAGCTCCTAGCAAGAGCAGGCATCCTGTCTGTCAGAGCCAGGTGGGAGATGACACGTTTACACAGAGGTGAGTATAGTAACACTAGGGCTGGCCTTCCAATGCTTCCTCTTGGCCAGGGACGTGATTCTGCCAGAGACAGCTCCTTCTCAGGCCTCTTGAGACTGGCCTTCTGGTTGCAGGCAGGAAAACATTGCATAACGTGACTCAATTTTCTCCTCCAGACTACCAACTCAGCTCTGCAACCCAGCACCAGGGTTACCAGGGGCATTTGGTTTTAACTACAGTAGATGCTATCTGAGTGTGGCCAGACTTAGCCTAGTTATTTTGTGTCCGCTCTTGGAGTTGGTCTTGTTAAATCTGCCATTGTGCTTCTTGTTCCTGTTTAACCACAGTTTCCAAATAATTTTTGCTTTTTCTTCCAGGTCTATTGCTGTGTGTGTATGCCTCTACTATGCATGGATGTGTGAATACATATGCATGTGTGTATGTATTTATACATATATATTTATACATATACATATATATACATACATATGTAAATATACATACTTGTGCTTTTTTTTCCCCTGATACTACTGAATATCATGGTACCCTGTCACATGTTAAGCTTGTGCTTGCTACTGAGTATCTACAGCACAGCCCAGATTCGGTATCTACAGCACAGCCCAGATGCCCTATTAATTGCCCCCCCCCCAGAGATTTGGAAGGAATAGGGAACCAGAATCTTGATGATGAGATGGAGTGTCTCTCTAGTTGGTTAAATTTGAGGAAGTCAAACTGTCTCTCACTGTGAAATGAAAACTGTGGATAAGGAGGCCAACTTGGCACAGGGAGCCTACTCCTCCCCCAGCCCCCTGCCTCCTCCCAGCCTGATAGTGGATGCCTTCCAAGGTGGACAGCTTGAGGCTCACTGAGCACTGTGCATGGGTCAGCCTCCTGCAGGTGCTCTCTTCCTTGTAAGGTCCCAGGCTGCTGTCTGTGCTACAGAGAGGCCTTGGGCAAGCTTGTTTATGGAGAAGCAGTGTTTGTGGAAATGGGATTTTATGGGGGTGGGGGTGTGCTTTTGACTGTGGGTGATGCTAGGGATAGGCTCCAGCCAGCTGCTGCTCTACAGAGGTGTGTGTCTGCCTGGCCTGTGCCCAGGGCGTGGGCCTCTAGTGTGTTTGTGTGTGAGTGCCCTGTGTGCATCCCCTGTAAACCCTTGTGGTGTGTGCCAGGTGTGTTTGAGAGACTTGGTGAACAAGTTTTGCTGCTTTTGTGCTGCAACCATAGACTGCAGCTGTCTGTCCCTGGGCTGGCTGACCCTGCCAAGAACTGCCTTAATGGGCGGTTGTGGTAGGGAGAGGCCAGCTCTCACTGCAGGCACAGGACAGGGTTAGCTGCCCCCTGGCATCTCTGTGCTGGTCTCTGGCCTCTCTTGCTGATACTTACAACCCCAACAAAGGGTTATGTGTTTCCTGGGGCTTGGCTTGAGCCTGTGTCATCTTCAAATACAAGCAGACTCTGGAGCCTCTTCTCGTGTCCTTTCTAACCTGAAAGTGCACTGCCTCCCTCTCCCCCCCCCCCCACCCCCAGTGCAGTACTTGGGTCAGGACGAGGTTAGGAGAGCCAGGAGGAAACTGGGTTTGAGAAATGGAAAATAGACATGCAGGACTCCTGAGTCCTTCCTGTGGTTTTGTCCTGCCTCCCTTCCTGGCTAGCCTGAGGAGCAGTACTGCATTTTGTCATGACCCTGGTGGCCTCTGAGCCCCTGGCCCTGTAGATGAGTTGAACTACATGCAAGTATAGACTAGGCCAGGCCAGCTTTGCGTGGTTCCCAGGACCCGGCCTCTTTGCAAGAGCATGAGCAGGGCCTGCAGTGACAGGGTTAGGCCCAGGAGGCAGGGTGGGGGCCCAGGGAGCTTTTATCCAAGCCCGACCGGCTGGAGGACCCTTAGGATCCCTGTCTGTGGGCAGGTGATTCATGAGCTTCTATCCTGACCCAACCACAACACCCTGCATGCTGA